TGGCTAATTATAGGCTGGTATATCCACACAGTGGAATATTTGCAGTTAGAAAATATATAAGAAATTAGATGTGCATGATGGACTTTAAAAAATAAAGCTAATTATAAAAAAAAAACAAAGCTAATTATAAGACTGCAATACATTATGACCTCATTTTGTACGTAAAGTAATTAAATATTGAAAGCATACACACCAAAATATTAACAGTCATTGTCTCTGAATGATTAAATTATTGGAGATTTTTTATTTTCTATATATTTCATAATGAACATATCTTAATTTTTAATATGAAAAACATCATGCTTTTACCTAAGAAATAAAGCAATAACTTTTCACCATGCCAGTGCCACACAGCTTAGAACTGAAAGCTCCATCAAAAGTGCATTCCAGAGAAGAAATTGTTTTTTCTTCAAGGACATTTTCTTGTCAGTGGGATGAGAAGGTGCTACCAAATACAAGCTATAGCTTCATAAATCATTTTTAAAAAATAAAACTTCACCCTGAGGACCAAACAGAGGAGGCCAAATTTCCACATATCGCTTGCTAACACTTCATATTCCTTTTTCTTTTTGATTTTTAGTGATTGCTATTAATGACCTAAACTGGCAGACCACAGCGATGTTCCGGCCCTTTGTGGAAGTTTGTATACTGGGACCCAATCTCGGAGACAAAAAGAGAAAACAAGGCACAAAGACAAAAAGCAACACGTGGTCACCAAAGTACAATGAAACATTTCAGTTGTAAGTCGTAAACCCAACTACTATCCAGCCACGCACTAGCCATTGTACAGCTAAACCTGTTGAGGGATTCAGGGTAGGAAGGGCACTGGGCTTTGGTAAGGAAAGCAAAACCTGTAAGTTTACAGATTCCTGTTCATCACTGATCCCAAGCAAATGAAGAAGGCTATGGTTTTAGTTCTTGTCTGTTCTTCGGTATCTGTTCAGTGCCTACCATGTGTCGGACAAAGCTTTAGGCACTGGGTATAGGAGACCTCTGCACTCACAGAAGTACTTCACAGAGCTGAGGCACATGTGATAAAAACACAAAGAAGTAAATGAGAAATTATCAGATAATAGTAAGCACTATGGAGAAAATTAAAACAAGGTGCTGTAATAGTGACTGGCTGGATGGTTAGATTGGGTGGTCAGGGAAGACTCTTCAAGCATGTGACTTTTAAAGTGAAACCTGAAAGAAATAAAGAACCAGTCATGCAGGTAATGGGGTTGAAAACATTCCAGGCCAAGGGAAGTAGCTAGTGAAGGGCTCTAAGGCAGAACAAGCCTGGCATACTTAAGAATATATACTTAACAGTATACAGTGGGCATGGGGGTGAGATAAAAGGAGTTTGGAGAAGTGGTCAGGGTGCAAGTACCATACCACACAGGGCTGTGCAGTCAAGGTCACGGAGTCTAGGCTACATTCTAAGTTCAAAAGAAAGCCCACTGAAAGGGATGAGCAATCTGTTTACATCTTTAAACTATTATGCTGTTTGCTGTATTGAAAAATAATTATAGGAAAGCAAGACAACTGATCATGTGAAGATAAGTTAGAAAGCAATTGCAATAGTCCAGGCAAGAGATAATAGTGACTTGGACTAGGTGGTATAAGGGGAGACAAAGAGAAG